TTATATAAAATATAAATGGTATAGAATTTGATTCACCCACTTGTCTTTAAATTTTTTTTTTTAAATATAAATTTTCGAAAAAATAAAATTTTCGAAAAATAAAATTTTTGGCTATCTACAACTCTTTGTTCTCTTCCAATGGTTTTAATTACTAGCTACAAAATATATCTAAGTTGAAAAATAAAAATAAAATGTTAAATATGCAAAGCCACTAATTTAATTATGAAAGTACAATTTAATATTTTATTTCAATTCATATTTTGAAGCTTGATAATTATATGACTCTAAATCTTCATAACAAATTTAAAATTCAAACATATTCGATATAATGTTCTAAATTCTAATACATTGAGATTTTATTAGTTTCGACGAGTATTGATTTTAAATTTAAACCTAATGGATTTTGTCGTATTCTATGTTTTGATATAGGACAATGTGGAGACTAGATTTCTTCAAAGTTATATGAAAAGTGAAAGACGTCAAAAAAATTGAAGTTTGAGATTTCCTAATAAAATAAATTAAAATTTTCTTCAAATTTCTAGCCAGAAAGAATGTTGAATAAGAACGCAAATTATAGTGTGTGACTATGTGGCAACTGACAAAATTTGTTTCAACAAAGGTTAAAAGTGTATACAAGTCACTTTATCTTATAGTACATTTAGTCTAATAAGAAAAAACAGAAGATCTGTACCGAATGAAAGAATAATACAATAGTGGAAAATAAATTTTTGTGTTAGACAATGAAAGAAATGTATTTAAAAATAGAGTTAGGTAAGGTATGAAGAAGACAGTAAATTTCTACCGTCCACGATAAATGAACGTCAAATATCCTTAGGCCATCCACATTGGAGATATTTTACCAATGTCTCACAATATAAAAATATTAAAAACACACTCTCTCTTCTTTTTACTCAARTTTATACCTTRTCATTCATCCTTTTACTCAACTTTATACCTTCTCTTTCATCKTTTTACTCAACTTTTATTAATTTTATATTTAAACACACCCCAATWRTCTCTCTCTTATGTCTTCCCCAAYACACAATCTCTCCAAAAATACCCACTATCTRTTRTCTTTACTCAAATTTTATTAATTTTATATTTCAATACACCACACTATTTCAACAAAAAACATTTTCTTTTTTCCTTTTACTCAAATTTTAATAATTTTATATTGTAAGACACCCACAAAATATCTCCAATGTGGATTCTCTTATAGGAAGCCATGACAAAGGGGTCGCATTGCATGATAGTTTGTTCTTTTTCTTATTCGCATTTCGTGATAATTTTTATAATATTATATCGTCTATTTGGTCAGTCTATTTCCGTTTTAAGAAATTCTTTATTGTTGTCTTAAGAGAATGCACAATAAATAATATATAAATAAAATATGAGTTAAATCCAAGCTGAATTGGATAGTGTTGTGTCGTTGACGAAGGGTTGGGTGGTTTAGGCGACCAAACTTTCATCTTTCTCTTGCAATGGAATTATTTGCTTAATTCTTTTATAAAAATAAATAAAAAATTATTTGCTTAATTTTATTCTTCTTAGGTTTCTTTTTGTCGTTATCGCATCGTATGCCTAGTTTAGTTTGGCATTCATCATATGAAATATACAATAACTCTTGAAAAGTATGTCATGTAAAAACAAATGAGTAATTTAAAAAAAAACAAAACAAAACAAATGAGTATTCATATCCTTTTTACCAATCCTTCTATCTACCAACCTCATACCAATACCATCTCATGATATTTAATGGCCCTATTTAGCAAGTATAGTCACATTTATCACACTCATCCAAATGATCTTTTATTTAAATTAGTGTTACGGGATACTTTTACTTAATTTAGCACAAACAACATTTATGGAAACAGCATGGCACTAACCCTCGTGTTTGTAGGTCTTTAACGTTCAATCTCGATTAATTGGCCGTATTCTTGTCCAACGGTAGGTTCGATTTTATAATTTTTTGAAGACTAATAGATTGTCTTGCAAAATGCAAACCACAACGAAATTTTCTCCGAGTATTGTTTCTCTTTTCATGGAATACACTTAATTGACCATCTTTAAGTTTTTCCTTGGCGAGTTTTTGATTGGCCAATCTTTTTTTAAGATGATTTATAAAAAATAAATACACATTGTTGATAAAGTTAGTCAAGTTAAAAATTAAAGACTTTTTTCATAGATCACCA